TAGGATGCTTTGTGATTGGTACAATATCCATGTTGCCGCAACCGCGACGATCCAGATCTGATTGCCCGCGTCCAGCAGCGACGATGGTGGGGTTCTTGAAGCGAGCAGCTGGCTTGCCACTTTTGCTCTTGCCTCGACTGCCCACAACACTAATACCTACTCTATCATGTCGGACAACATCGCCAACGCCTCCCTCCCGCTGCCTCTCGTCCTGCTTCTGGACGTGGCGTCGCAGCTCGCGTCGGCCGTTGCCTTGGTGCTTGTCTGCATCCTCGCCATCAACGCGCCGATCATTGCGGTAGTTTGCTTTGTCGGCCTCTCGATGGCCAGCGCGCTCTGCGATCCCGAGACGACCTGTGTGGCCGTCGCGACGCTCGAGCGACTCTTGCAGTCCCAGGCGCCGCTGCTGCAACTGCTCTGATGCGACCACCTCGGACTCCTATTTATCACGCTCAAGCTTCCATGCGCTTCTGCTAATATATACATAACCCTCTTGCACGATGGGCATGACACGGCTTGGAGCTCAACGACAAGGAGCAACGTTCGTGCTGCGGATGCAGCAAGATGTGCTCTAGTCGTATCGAGATGACCACCACAATCAGATCGCCAACAAGCCATAGCAGTGCGTCGCGCCCAGCTCTCGGGCCCAACCACGTGCAACTGCAGGCGACAGAGCTCTGCACTTCTATCAAGGGTATATAATAAATGGGTGTTAGGGTGTTAGGGTCCTAACCTCCATTTATTATATACCCTTGCTTCTATGCAACGATCCATTGCATCGTAAACATCGATCCATTGTGTCACTGGTACATTTTCCCATTTCGACAATGTATCCTCGGACTAGATGACCAACCGTTTTAGGCAGATCGTCGTCGTCCAATGAGGCGACCGTCTTCTTGGCCGACGGGACGCGCCAGGTTCAACACTGCTCGGTATACACATGAGCAAGGGTGCCATGCCTGCTCGAGACACACCAAGAACTGGGGGGCAGTCCGCATTCCGGGTCCTACTGCGTCGAGCGTGCGGGACGAATGCAACGCAAACCTACATGATCGAGTTGGTAGCTCTGTGAGTCGAATCTCCAAACCGCTGCTTTCAAAAATAAAGCTGCTTGCGTCTCACCGAGATATGATCGCGCTTTTGCCGCCGATTCCACGTCTACGTCATGGATCCAGACTGCAGATGTACTACTATGTGCATTGAATGGTTTAAGCGGCCTTGGCCTTCATCTTCTTGACGTCGTCGAGGGGGCCAGTGCCCGTAAAGGGACTCGGCTCACGGTACGAGCCGCCAAGGTGGTCCCAGAGCGTAAAATACTGGCCGTAGTTGACCGTAAAAACAAGTGGTGGTCCGTGTGGTGCGCGGCGCCGTTGACGATCTTCTCAAACCAGCGCGGCATCTTGTCCATGACGAAGTCGCCGTCGTGGATCGAGATGGTCCAAAAGTTGACAAGCACAAAGAGGCCGAGGTACACGACTAGGAGACTGTGAGACGACCCGATTTTGAAATCTGGTACGAAATTTACCTTTCTGGAGCGGCATCAAAAAGATGAAAATGTGGTACGGCGTCGACTGGAGAAAGCCGTCGAGCGGGTCGAACGCATGGCTCGCAAACGGCGATGGCACGAGCCACTTGTGGTGCAGTTTGTGCACGTGCTTGTAGACAAGCGGGTGGTGCAGCCAGCGGTGGATCCAGTAGATCGCCATGTCGTTGAACATCATAAAGCAAAAGATGCTGAACGCAAGGTACGGGTAGCCATACTCGTCGAGGTCGTCGTAGAGAAAGCTGTAGCCGCGGACTTCGGCGAGGAACACGGGCAGTGTCAAAAGCGTCATGACCGGAATCGCCGAGCACGACACCTTCATCTCGAGCCAGATTTGGTTTTTCAGAAACTTGGGGTGCTTCATGTACTCCTTGTCGTAAATAAAGTGGTAGCTCAGCGTCGCAAAGCTCAGATACAGGACGTAGCCACCGAGCATCGTGATGAAGAAGAGCGAGATGGCTTGGCGGTACACGTCGTCGGCCGGCCACGCCGCCGGGTACACGTGCGGCGTGAGGATGTACTCGTCCGCGGCTGCGAGCACCAAGTCCATCTTGCTGCTGCTGCTGGAATATCGACAAGTGAGGAAGGCGCCGAAGGACTTGAGCAGATGTAAACACCCTCGATTACTGGCGCTGCCTTTC